GCTTGAAGAATGCCAATGACCGGGTTGTAGCCGCTTCAAAGCCATGGTTCAGCATTTGAAGGAGCGCCTTAGAGTGAGAGAGAGGGAGAGAGAGAGAGAGCGAGAGAGCGAGAGAGAGAGAGAGAGAGAGAAGGAGAGAAGGAGAGAGGGCCATCCACAGAGACAAAAAGAGGTGGATCAAGGATAGATAGATAGATAGATAGAGATAGATAGATAGATAGATAGATAGATGGATATATATAAATATGTAGTTATGTTATAAGTATTTATAAGTTATAATGTTTGATATGGATTCATGGGCTGCCTGAATCGTAAATGTTAAATATTGGTTGCATTTATTTACTTTCTGCGCTTCACAACAAATGAATGAGCTTGGGACTACCATGGTCGCGTTGAGGCTTTGCTTCCTTTTGTGCCCTTTGGCATCACGCCTTTCACAAGAAAAAATACAGGAATACTACAACGAGGGTAACAGCGCAGGTGGCAACACAGCCCCCTACTGACACTGAGGCGGCATGGGCCTTGCATCAATAGCTGCGGCAAGGTCAGGATCGGCGAAGTAGGACTTCACTTCCTTGGCGGCGATGGGAGGGCGATGATCTTGATCTGATGGGATCTGATGGGGTTAGTTGGGTTCAACTCATTGCCAAAGCTGCATCTAAAATCTCCAAAGGAGTTCATTTGGGATTCTTACTAATACTTTAAGAGCCTCAATGATCTTTGAATTCCACGTCAGACTCAGTGCAAGATTCTGTTTTTGACCACCTGCTGTGTCACGACGATGGGTGTCAATGGCGGAAGTCGCAACAGCCGGGCAGTGTCAATGTCAGGGTTCCCCCCATCTCCCAACGCAGCCCACCCCAGAGAGCTGCTTGAGACCAGGTTTTATGGTAGCCCCTTTCAACAACGATAAATAATTGGGCACTGTTTCAAATACCATGTTGAACCTTATTGAGTTCTGTGCTCTCTGTCAGTCAGTGGGCGCCTGAATTTGAATCGAATGCTCCAATCTGTCTACCCCTATATTGCCAGGTGACAACCTACTGGAAACCAGACTCTTGTGAGCGTAAGAGAAACCATCATAAATCACAGTAGTACACAATAAGATTAGTATTTATTTGAAATTGTGGGGTAACGGCATCAGTAGTTCAGGATATAATAATATGTGTTTGATTGTGGGTGGCTAAAGATTTAGATATGGATGGATACAGTAGTACTAATACTGTATTTGGATCACCAGGAATATCTTACCCAAAAAGCGTTTTCGATTCTGTCACTGTTTGACTTTGGGGGTAGGCAAGAGCGCAAAAAAGAGTATCCAGCCTGAGGGATGGCGCTTGCTACTCACGACTCAACAGGTCATCCAACGCAGTTGTCCCCACATTTTAGTCAGCACAAACAGACCTGAATCAAACACCTTCAATTTCATGTCAGAATGTCATAGAATCATATTCGAATAACTTCGTATTAACAAATAGGATTCATAGGATTTCTAAATAAATATGCAAGGGGATTGTGCATTGCAATCTCTCAGCGTGCAGCGGCTTCCATCACTTCACTCGGCAGGTACACGTCCTGAAGTTAGGGCTGAAAGGCCGGTTTCTGTATCCTGACTGTGGCTTTGGGGCTATTGGTTCGAACAACTGTTTTCAGGGAGAACAATGCCTGGATTCCAAAGTGTTTTGGTGGAAAATATCTGTCCACCATGGATCACCATGGCCATGTTCCCCAATTTTCCAGCTCCAGCCCAAAACCCTGAAAAAATGTATGGTTTTGGCCTTACAGAGTGCTTAGTGAGTGCTTAGCGAGTGCTTAGCGAGTGCTTAGTGAGTGCTTATCTGTGGCCATTTCCCACAGCTTCCCTTGCTCAACCCAAAACCTGAAAAAATGCATGGTTTTGGCCTTACTGAGTGCTTACTGAGTGCTTAGTGAGTGCTTAGCGAGTGCTTAGTGAGTGCTTATCTGTGGCCATTTCCCACAGCTTTCCATGCTCAACCCAAAACCTGAACAAATGCATGGTTTTTGGCCTTACTGAGTGCTTACTGAGTGCTTAGTGAGTGCTTAATGGGTACCCAGTGAATGCCTAGCTGAGCGAAGCTCTCCCCACCCACCTTCAGGACGCCGGACTGTTGCCACCAGTTCCAGGCTCAGTGGGCCTAAGCGTTGGGTTCGGGATTATCGAACCCCTGCTGGACAGTGGATGAAGCCCTAAATATTGAAGTTACCAAAGTTGGAATCAAAGCTGAGTTTTTGTAAGACTAGGACCCTGCGCTCTGGCTCGGGCTGGCAGTTGCTTTGCGCTTACGCTCAACCAAGCGTTTGATACGCGATGCCAGAGCATCGGTCTTAGCAGCGGTCGTCCAATCCCCAATGCCAAGATCACGGGCTTCCATCACCAAATCATCAAACTCGTCGTCGGGCATCGTCGATGTGGCCTGAGTCGTAGGGGCATCAAGTCAACCCCATGAATTTCATTTTTTCAGTAGTAGGGAAAGTGACCCTGGGATAAGTCAAGTCAGTTATAACAATTTGATTGGGACTTGTAATGGATATATCTGTAATTTGATGATGAGGGTGCAAACAAACTTATAATTTAATTGGTGGGATAATCATAGTCAAGTCAGTCATATCAATTTGATTGGGACTTGTAATGGATATATCTGTAATTTGATGAGGGTGCAAACAAACTTATAATTTAATTGGTGGGACCTTCCATAATCATAGTACCATAATAATGACATTGGATTTTGTTGACATAAAGCTGACAAGACTTGGAACTGGGGATCTCGCTTTTTCAGGCGCATCAGCAGTGCCCGGGGAAGTGGTGTCAGCGCCTCCCAAAAGATGATCATGGTGCATCCATATATCTAGATTAGATAGGAAGAAACTTGCAGTGGGTGGCAACCCCACCTGAGCCTCCTGCACCAGTGGAACCAGCAGCAACCAGGTCAGCACAATAGTGGCGATGGTGTTGCCCCGGTCCCTGGCAGACAATGTCAGCGCCCGAGGAAGGATCTTTATACATCTGCCAATAACCCACGGAATCTGTGGCAAACTCAGGGAGGTAAGTCTGGCGATGAGCGCCGCCCAACTCACCCAAGACCCACTTGTCGCCGTGTGGGTAAACGGAGAAGCCTCATGCAATGATCAATACATTCTCGGTGCTCAAAAATTGGGTGTCGCTGTCAATGATGTTCTAACACTGACTGACACAGATGAGAAACAATATGAAATTGCAACCACTGGGGTCAAAACTCTGACTCTCAGCTGGCTCATACTCAGGCTCCCCTGCAGCTGCAGCTGCCAACTGGGCTGCAGCCTCAAGGAGAGCAGTCTCAGACCTCTTCCATGCTTCCTCTGGGGACATCTTCTCAACAGCAATAGGCGACCCCCTGCGAATGTACTCGTTGCGCAGGGTGTTCAGGTGGCTCGCTTTCACGTACCTAGCCAAGGCTCACTCACTTGCTAAGTAAGTGAAATCTCAAGTCAAGTTGTCACTGGTCATTGTCTAAAAACACGAAGCGGCTCACGAGTAGGGCTTGTCTGTGGGCAGCAGTCCAACCTTTAGTAGCCACTAGGTTACAGATGTTTACACGGCTGTTTATTGAGACTGCTGGCTATGTCAGACCACTTAGGCTGCGACGCCCTGATGAAGAAGAGCATCCAGCAAATGCCTTTCGTGCTGCTGTTGCATGGGGCCCCGGGCATCTGGGAGCACTGGTTTTTGATCTAAACCCCAAAAACCTCGCCTTGGGGTTGCCTCAGTGACATACGCTTTGTTGCAGTACACCTGTTCCATATGCTCCAACATGTCCACGATATGATACGTGGGGAAAGCTGCCAAGCATGAGTAGCTGGACGAGTATTTCCTCAGTGACTCAGTGATTCTTTGGTAGGCAGCTGGGACATAAGTACGCCTGGTTTGACAACTCATTTGATGAATGTTCGATGCAATGCAATGATAAAGACATAGACATAATAATTCTACACTGAAGGGTTAGTTCGAACATGTGTTTAAACTTCACGACTATCATCATGACAACCAGTCCTTTAGCAAAACCAATACTTTAAGTACATAGTACACAATACACTGTCATCAGAGAATCGAAGAACCTACATTATATATTTAATATAGTATATTAAATCATCATATTGGGTAGCTGGTTTTGAATGCTGTTTACTTCATTAAGTGTGTACATATCGTGTACATATCATATCGGATCATACCAACTTCAAGTCAAGTGCTGCGTTGCCAACAAAGACATTAAATGCTGTTGAAGGGTCTCCACATCATGCCTGCGACCACCACTGGAAGAAGTCGGCTTGGCCTTTGCCTTCCTCTTCGGTACTGTGGGGGGTGGGGGGGCATTGAGCGCAGCAATGTTGGCAGCATATGTTGCAACAGCAGCACTGGCCTTCCCCGCAGGCGCAGACTTGGACTTGGATGGAGGAGGAGGAGGTGGGCCCCCAGCTTTCGCTGTAGCTGCTGATGGCGGGGGAGGAGGAATTCCAGCCATCGCGTTACAATCCGAAACAAGCTAGACTGTCAGTAGATGATTTGAGTTCCTGAAAGGCTTGCTGCAATGTGATAAAAATAAATAACAATCCAACAATCTCTTCTATCGAAACATGTCCAAAACAATTCAGGGAGAACTCTAAACATGTGATCCTTTCAATTCATCATTGTCTACAGCAGAGACTCAGGAGCGCACCATTGGTGGCGCCATGCACCCACAATTCTGGGATGGGGACCAGAGATACAATAGTTCAGTTGGTCGTCGGGCCACATTCGACCCATCAAAGAACACCTTAGCCAAAGACCAGACCAGCTGATGTCCTGCTGTGTTATATGGCGTGTGCCGTGTGTTTCGGTCTTGAAATTGAGATTGAGTATATGAATCCAAGGATCCAGTAGACAGTCAAGAAACAACCTTGGTTTTTGAGCTCTTTTTTTATCTATTGCGCTGTGCCTGTACTTGCAGAATTGTGCTAGTGAAACATCAATATGCGCTTCCTGTACATTTCTTGTCAGCCACACATGACAGGGCCACCAAAGTGACAATTGTCACCACTGGAAGCACCATGCAATTCCCGGCCAAGGTTGCAGCTCGGCGTTCATCTCGAATCGGGACAGTTGGGGTCCCCAGTGCTGTGGCCAAAGAGGAACGAACGGGGAAACCAAAAGTTGCCAGCTTTTCTGCGTGGCACATCCACCTGCCGTGGTACGGGAAATACATCATCCCAGCATTCATCCTGAAAGTCGGTATTCGATGGCTGCTCGCTGACCATGTCACCGAGTAGTTGCTGTTGTCGCCTAAGAAGATTGCCAGGTTAGGGTCCGTATCTGCGGCCCTGTTGTAAGTGGATTCATACTTGTTCCGAGCAAAATTGAGGACAGCTAGCTCCCGTGGTAACAACAAATAGAATGGGCTAGCGCCCTGGTGCCGCCGACCCCCCCTATTTGGGGGGTGCTGTAGAGAGAGGGAGAGAGAGGGAGGGAGAGATAGAGAGAGGGCTTGGTGGAAGCTGCCGCGAGGGAGTTGGAGGGTTTTAGGGGTTTTAAGGGTTTGAATAACGGTTTGAAGGCTGGCAAACGGCAGGCTTGAACGCCATAACAACAGAGGGCTATGCAGGCAAACGCAGGCAAACTGCAGGCTGCAACGCTGGAACAGCAAAGGCTTACAGGAGGGCTTGGTGGAAGCTGCCGCGAGGGATTCGGAGCATTTTAGAGGTTTTAAGGGTTTGAAGGGTTTTAAGGGTTTGAAGGCTGGCAACGGAGCATTTTAAGGGTTTTAAGGGTTTGAAGGCTGGCAAACGGCAGGCTTGAACGCCATAACAACAGAGGGCTATTCGCAGGCAAACGGCAGGCTGCAACGCTGGAACAGCAAGGGCTTACGGCCGCAGGGCTTGGTGGAGGCTGCCGCGAGGCGCCCTAGGCAGGGACGCCCTAGCAACAGAGGGCGATGCAAGAAAACGCAGGCAAACGGCAGGCTGCAACGCTGGAACAGCAAAGGCTTACGGCCAGAGAGGGCTTGGTGGAAGCTGCCGCGAAGGATTTGGATGGTTTTAGGGGTTTAAAAGGTTTTAAAGGTTTGAAGGCTGGCAAACGGCAGGCTAACAAGAAAGTTTAAGGGTTTGAAGGCTGGCAAACGGCAGGCATGGACGCCCTAACAACAGAGGGCAATGGAGACAAAGGGCAGGCTGATCGAAGCTGCCGCCAAGCAGTGAAGCATTTGGAGCCAAGAAAAACAAGTTCCACACCTGCGGTGGTCCCAGGCGCCGCCCCTGCCTTGGCGAAGGCCGTGGTCGGCGTGTTGGGCTTGTTGGGGTACCTTTTCCCTGCGGAGCTGGCCGGACTTTTGGAGGGTTTGGAGGGTTTTGGAGGGTTTTGGAGCGTTTGAGGCCTGGCAACCGGCAGCCTTGAACGCGTATAAGAAGCCATTGCTGCGGCCGTGGGGTGCTCTTGAGCCATTGCTGTGGCCTTGTGGTGGCTTTTGCGTGCGTGCTTGGCGCGTGTTTGGGCCCTGTTGGGGTACCTTTTTTCCCTGCGGATCTGGCCGACTTTTTGGGGGTTTGGGGGTTTGAGGGTTTTTTTTTTGGAGCGTTTGATGGCCCTGGCAACGGACAGCCTTGACCGCGTTATAAGAAATAAAGAAAATAAGAACAAAAAAAAGACGAAAATAGCAGAACGAGAAAATCGCACACACAACCACTCTCGGTCGGCACATCCAAAAAAAAGCCCATTGCCTGCGGGCCGGCCGTGGGGTGCCCTTGAGCCATTGCTGTGGCCTTGTGGTGGCTTTTGCGTGCGGCAGTGGCGCGTGTTGGGCTTGTTGGGGTACCTTTCCCCTGCGGAGCTGGCCGGACTTTTGGGGGGTTTGGAGGGTTTGGAGGGTTTTGGAGGGTTTTGGAGCGTTTGAGGCCTGGCAAACGGCAGCCTTGAACGCGTATAAGAAGCCATTGCGGCCGTGGGGTGCCCTTGAGCCATTGCTGTGGCCTTGTGGTGGCTTTTGCGTGCGGCAGTGGCGCGTGTTGGGCTTGTTGGGGTACCTTTTCCCTGCGGAGCTGGCCGGACTTTTGGAGGGTTTGGAGGGTTTGGAGGGTTTGGATGGTTTTGGAGGGTTTTGGAGCGTTTGAGGCCTGGCAAACGGCAGCCTTGAACGCGTATAAGAAGCCATTGCTGCGGCCGTGGGGTGCCCTTGAGCCATTGCTGTGGCCTTGTGGTGGCTTTTGCGGGCGGGAGTGGCGCGTGTTGGGCTTGTTGGGGTACCTTTTCCTTGCGGAGCTGGCCGGACTTTTGGAGGGTTTGGAGGGTTTTGGAGCGTTTGAGGCCTGGCAAACGGCAGCCTTGAACGCGTATAAGAAAAGCGTTGCTTGCTCTGGCGGGCCGTGGGGTGCCCTTTGAGCCTTGCTTGGCCAGGGGTTGTGGTGGCTTTTTTGCCGTGCGGCAGTGGCGCATTTTTTGGGCTTGATTGGGTAAAAACCTTTTTCCCTGCGGGAGACCTGGCCGGGACTTTTTGAGGTTTGGAAAGGTTTTGGAAGGGTTGTTTTGGAGCGTTTTTGAGGGCCCTGGCAAACATCACCTTGAACGCGTTATAATAAGAAGCCATTTGCTATGCGCAGTGGGGTTCCTTCTTGAGCCCATTCTGTGGCCCTTTGTGGTGGCTTTTGCGTGCGGGAGTGGCGCGTGTTGGTCTTGTTGGGGTACCTTTTCCCTGCGGAGCTGGCCGGACTTTTGGGGGGTTTGGAGGGTTTGGAGGGTTTTGGAGGGTTTTGGAGCGTTTGAGGCCTGGCAAACGGCAGCCTTGAACGCGTATAAGAAGCCATTGCTGCGGCCGTGAGGTGCCCTTGAGCCATTGCTGTGGCCTTGTGGTGGCTTTTGCGTGCGGCAGTGGGAAGGTTTTGGAGGGTTTGAGGCCTGGCAAACGGCAGCCTTGAACGCGTATAAGAAGCCATTGCTGCGGCCGTGGGGTGCCCTTGAGCCATTGCTGTGGCCTTGTGGTGGCTTTTGCGTGCGGGAGTGGCGCGTGTTGGGCTTGTTGGGGTACCTTTTCCTTGCGGAGCTGGACTGTTGGAGGGTTGGGAGGGTTTTGGAGGGTTTTGGAGCGTTTGAGGCCTGGCAAACGGCAGCCTTGAACGCGTATAAGAAGCCATTGCTGCGGCCGTGGGGTGCCCTTGAGCCATTGCTGTGGCCTTGTGGTGGCTTTTGCGCGCGGCAGTGGCGCGTGTTGGGCTTGTTGGGGAACAAGAGAGGGCTCAGTGCAGGCAAAGGGCAGGCTGCAATGCTGGAACGCTGACGGCCAGAGGGCTTGGTGGCAGCTGCCGCGAGGGATGTGCAGGCAAAGGGCAGGCTGCAACCCTGGAACAGCAAAGGCTGCCGGCCAGAGGGCGTGGTGGCAGCTGCCTCGAATGCCCTAACGAGAGAGGGCTATGTGCGCGGAAAAGTTCCACACCTGCGGTGGTCCCAGGCGCCGCCCCGGCCTTGGCGAAGGCCGGGGTCGGCGGATATTCCAGATCAGCCCTGTAAGGGTTGTAGACAATTCCACGGCTTCTTGCCACGGCTTGGGCTTCTAGCCGGATCTCCTCTTGTGTTGCAATCATGTAATCTTTTGGTTCTGTGGCCACCTGTGATCTGATGTAGTCAGCAATTTTGTAGTAAAGCTCAATTGGGTCACCCAGACAGTCTGTCTCAGCAATGTATCGCATGATGATATAGGTTCTGGTCCTAGCAGCTCCCGAATGCCCAGCATCTGCGGAGGAGCAGTAGATAGGATAGCATTGGTACTCTGGTTCCATGAGAGTCTTGATGGTCTCAACTACGAAAGCCTCACAGCCGCGCAAAGTTGAATAAATCTTAACCTAGGATAGGAGTCCACCATTAAGTGGGATATTTGCCTAGAACATCTTAGAACCTTCTTGATATTTATATTTATAATTTTCAACAAATTATATATATATATCAAATATTTGAACAAATCCAGTAAGTCGGGGATTCAGTATTTGTCAGAATGAAGGATTTAAAAAGGGAGCCAAATCATATCGTTTCAATCTGACAAAGAGCTGGTGCGTTCTCCAGAATTGCAACCTTGGTCTTCATTCGTTTGTGTCGTCGCGCCCATACGACAAACAATTGGGCTGTGGGACCTTCTTCTCGTTTGAGCAATCCACTCATTGCGTAATCAACGCATGGAAGGCCACCTATGTCAACATCGACATCAGGTACTTGACAATGCCCAGTGATGGAGCAATTGTTCTCGCATGGACAACGAGAAACGAAAGGGGCTTCCTGAATCTTTCTGCGCTTGGCAGAATAGCACTCAGCATGCCTCACTGATTCAGAAGTGGAAGGTGGGACCATGTCCATCAAATCTCGAAAAATGTGGGGCTGTGGAAAGCTCTGCTGGGTGACTTCATTGCACCAAAGGTGGGAATCCCGCAGCAATTGGTGGCATCGGGCAGCCTTTTCCTAGGTAGAGGTTGGTTGCCAAGACAAGCATGTCATGTCAGCTTTCTGGGGCAGCACTTCCCCAAAGAAAAACTAACAATAATAGCATGTGTCAGATATCAAATTAAAGGCCCGACAACAAGCATTGATTTTTACTAGTAAAATGCTTCCTGAAATTTACTAGGAGTTTTAAGCCTAGATTCCCAGCACGCCTTGACAGCAACATTCACCCGTAGTCCTGGGACCAACCCACTCAAGTTCACCACACGGGTGAGCAAAGCCAAGCCCATGTCTGAGGTTCCAATGCCTGAGCATGTCGATGAAGCACTCCGGGCTGTAGCTAAGAGGGAAACCTGCTGGCGCGAGAGAAGCAGAAGCATGGGGCCTGAACCTTTTGCATGGTTCAGTAGTCAGAAATCCCGCTTTCTACTAGTCTACTGAACTTTTGAACTGCCAGTCTAGTAGTCATTTGGATTTTGAACCCCAAGCAGCGCCTTCAATGCTGCATGACTCAAAGTTTCAGTGACAACCTTCCATGCTAACCACACTGATTTGCAAGAGGCAGCTAGTGGGTCACCGATGCTGGCCACCTGAGTCTGGGAGGGACACAAACTAGTAAGGCACAGTTGATTGCGTAGCGTTGTGAGACAGAAAAAAGGCGTTTGACTGGACGTTTCTCGCAGGAATCAGTTGACTGGTTGGTTGGGCCAAAGGAAATCAAAAGGTCGAATGAATTGTAGTTGTTTCCATTCCGTTTGTTTTCAGAAACGCAAAACTAAAATTCCTGGGGGAAACAGTGAATTAAACATCCTTTCACATATTCCGTAACATGCAAGTGACGTCGAACAAGGTTGAAGCACTAGATCCTGACGCTGTAGAGTCGTCTAGAGATCCATGTGTCGGGACTGGCTGCTCACAACAGCCTGCGCAGCTGCTTCCGTCACCGCCACCCGAAACCGTGAGCTTACTAAAAGAACAAGTCGATGCGGCCACAGACGCAGCTGGATCCATACTAATACTAGCACTCATGCCCAGAGACTTCTGAGTCAAAGGGCAAGGTACCAGCACTGGGAGCCAAAGTAAGAAGGCGAATCAGAAAGAAAGAAGTAGGTGACGTGCCATGATGTGCCACTAAGTTAAAAACAAACAAGCTGCACCGGCACTGCACCGGCACTGCACCGGGTCTGATTGGTTGACTGGCTGTCTGACTGACTGACTGACTGGGTCTGAGATTGAATCATTGAACTTTGAGCTGCTGGCATTCCATGCCGTCGTGTTTGCAAAGGTTCGCTGGCATTGAACTTGGAAAGCATCCTCATGTCAGGTCTGAAATCACTAAATCAAGTTTAAGCGTCACTGCAAGTCAAGTCAAGTGAAGCAAATGGAGTCTCTTGGCCAAACTCCATACTTGAACATGAGGATAGTGGATGATGTTTTCAATTTAAGGTGAGTTTCTGCGAACACTGCGCAGGTATGCGTGCTAAGATAGCTGTGGCTGTTCTCCTTTGTCCCTTCAATTGGATCCAAGCCCGCCCGCTCCAAGGCAGTTCGCATTAGGATTGCCTCAATTGAGCGCGGGGCTGAAAAATGTCAAGAAAATAGAATAATTGCCAAAACAGAACATTTAAAAACGAACCGCACTCAGTCAATTTGTCAATGACACTGTAGCTCTGAAAGTCTGACTTATATGGACTTCATGCTGCTAAAATGCTCTTTGATCCACAATCATTTGGCAAGCTTCAAAGCATGCTGACACCTTAGAACCTTGACGCAATCTAACCGATTGGCCCACCAGCTTACTTCTCTTGAGGGAAAACCCCGTGGCAAGTGCTTCCAAAGCCTTTGCGCTGCAATACGCCGCTAGTTGAAAAACCAGATCGATCCCTGCTGCCAGCAAACAAGAAGCATTCTGAGTAAAGCCCACATCTATGCAAAACAATGTGAATGCTGGAACAGTCATGTGGTTGGGAGTTGTGTTGAGCCATGCCCGGCTCTCTTCCAACGCAGAATTGTGCCACAACCTTTCAAAAACATTGCATGCCTCAGTGGACCAAACATCGCTGGACCTGAAAGTGTTCGAGCGTGGCATGAAATAGTCGCCTGCCTTTTCCAGAATGCGGATTTCCAGAGCATCGATGACACTTGGAGATTCACACAGCATGTCAAGCAACTTGTGGAAAATGACACCGACTCGTAACCGGATATCTATTTCAAAGGTTGTGTTCTGTAGGGCGTACGTCATCAATGCAAAAACCATGCTTGTGGGAATTGTCCTCTCATACATCATTGTTTCATTCTCATTCTTGCCACTCTCAGTGACACATTGCCTCAATGTTGGAACCTCTCCGTGCAACATGTAGTGATACAGGTTTGCCACCCTCTCCTGATGTGATTTCCAACGACTATACCTTTTGGCAGGGTCACTGGATGTCCAGACCCACCCTGTCACATCCTTGAGTGACCACTCGGCTTCTGACGAATCATCACCAACCTTTGGAATATAGAGGCAGCAGGCGCCTACTTCAGGCAATGTGATCTGATGTGGTTTCCATAGCAGGCTGTCAGTTGTTTGCGTCATGACCTTTTTAAAAGGTGCTTGAGCCATGATGCAGGCAACAACCACTGGACCACGGTCTTGCCCATTTCATATGTGATTGTTTGAAAAATAAGAAAAATGAAGGCAAGACGCTGTAAGGAAGAGTTGAAAACAGCAAAAACATGCAAAAACCATTGGTTTCTCTCAGAGTCCTTGCTGAGATAGGCAGGGGTGGGGGGGAGGAGGCAGAGGGGGGGGAGGGCAAGCAAGGGCATGATATATATATATATATATATTTTTTATTATATATATAATATTTAGATATTATATATGTACATACATGTATGTGCCCAATTATTTATGTTCATCAACAGCCCACTCATATCCCATTCGAATGGCTCGGAGCATTGATCATGTCCTCAGCTTCCGCCGGGGCCAGGTCTGGGGCAGCAAGGCCTGTCCATTGACTACGCCTTGCCGAAGACTTTCACCAAGTATCCCACCCTGCCAGAGGCGGCGATGGCATGGCGATGGCTCGCTTCGCCATGGGACGGGCTTGGAGTTCAAATGTTTTTGGGGAAAGTTGAGTGGTAGTTCATTTGGAGAATCACTGGAAGTTCAACTGTTAGCCGGAGCTGGCAACCAACCAGATGAGATGGTATTGGCGGAGAATTATAAGCCGGGCACCAGCATTTTGAGCATGTTAGTAGGGATTAACTATCCATTGTATCAGGGATATAATTAATGGGATACTATGGGATATGGTGGAAATGTAATGGAGATATGAGATATGATAGGATGAATGACTTTAGTAACCAACTTAGAGTGATATTTGGGCATGTGTGAAATTGCGGTGTTCAACACCCTAGCGCCCCTAGCGCCAGTGGTGGAGAATGATGATCATCTGGATGACTCGCCGGAGGCCAAATATCCCATGATGCATCGCTTGGTGTACTCCCATTTTGGCTGCAATGTCGCTTGCAATGGACAGAAAGAGCCCAGGAGAGCCATTTGGGGAGCCTAGGCAAGGTGGTTTATCAGTACTAGGATGATGTTTTTCTGCAGAGCGGGGTATAATATCTATGACCTTCCTGTGACCTTCCTGTGTGCGTTTTTAGATGTTGATGTCGAGTTGATGAAGATGGAGGATTGTAATTGTCCAGCATGAACGCCGCGCTGTTGAAATTAGCGTCGTCAACTACTGTGAGTTTCCGCCATCTCAAAGGTTTACCAATGGCAATATCCTTGCACAGCAAAATCTTGGGTTTTTGGTTGGTCCTCAAAACTGCCTACTTGTACCAATCTAATCTAAGTGACCTTTTCAACTTCAACAAGTTGATTTTTCGATCTCCTCGATTGGGTTCGTAGAGAGCCCCCTACATAGACTCAAAAAATCTCAAACATATGACTAGATTGATGAAGATTTACGCTAAAAAAGGGGAAATGTTGGGAACGACTTATACATTTTAGTCTTGGACAAGGATTACCGGAGATCTTTGTGGGTTTGTTTGAAAATAAGGTAAATCCGTCTTCATCATGTTCCCTTTGAAATTTACAATTTTGGCGGTCTACCCTATTTTCATGTCCCAAGGTCTATCATGAGGATTTTGTCTTTGACAACAAGACCGACGTCCATGATGCCAAGATGGCCATCAAGAAGGCCATGGGGCCATGGAGAAGCTGATGAGCCAGCAGTGGAATGAGGGTATACCCATGGCCCATGGTATACTGGTTTGTGGTTGGGAACCATGGAATTTTATGACTTTCCCATCATCTTGGGAATGTCATAATCCCAACTGACAAACTCATAATTTTTCAGAGGGGTAGGTCAACCACCAAGCAGTACACTCATTTTCAGACAAAGCCACATGATCATTCGCAAAGAACCTCCAATCGAGTGATTCGAAGGAATAGGCGATGGTGCAAAAATGTCGCTTCCGGAGCCCATCCACAGTGATCCATTTTTGTGCATCTCCAAATTTCTAGGATATGCTCAAAACAATCAACCACCGATTTTTTGGATAGCGATTCACCACCAAAATCCGAAAGGAATCCTTCGTTGGTGTTGTCATTTCTAAACCCGGTCTACCTGGGATACCAGAGATATACTTTACCCAAGGTACTGGTATAAAATACCCTTTGGTAACACTGGCAAACCTGGCAATGGAAAGTCACGCATGATAGTAGATGATTTGCATGTCCAAAAAGTGGTTTCGAGCACTCAAGGTAAGTTCAAGAGGGGCAAGCAATTTTATTGTTGCTTAAGTCCCCTTAGAATCAACCCTGGATTAACAACCTTGGTTTGATCAGTTGGTGGATAACCCCAAAGAGTGATATTATGCTAGTAAAATAGTACTGCCCGCCACCCCCAATCAAAACAGCCCAGGGGAGTCATTATAATATATTATTATATTATAATATGTATTATATAATCAAGTTTTGACGTGATAGTCTTGACGGAATTCAAGACCTTGGTGAAGATTTGAAATGGTCGCCCCATCCACTTGTAGGCGGAAAATATGCCGTAAACCCATCCATACCCCCAGAATTCTCAGAAAAAGAATATAAAACATAACAAACACTCATCAGCATTGGTCGTATATACCAGGATTATTGTTGGTTATGTCTGCATGATTACTGCATTTTTTTTGCGTTTTCTGTTGCCTCAGTTTGGTGAAAACTAGCCATGTAGCCATGTTCCAGCCATGGCCAGTTTCAGCATGTCCCATAGGCAGTGGAGGCAGTTGGTGGCAAACTGCCAGCAGAGCACGGCCACGGCACTGAGTACCATGCGCCAATGGACACGCAGAAGCGGTGGATGAAGGCCGACATCCCGTCCCGGCCTTTGGGGCCTGGGTGGTAAGATGTAAGAAGCAGAAACAGGGCGGAAAAGTCGTAGAAAATGTGGAATTAGCTTAATTAGCTATGGAATAAAAGTTGTTTTACCATTAAAAATGTAAGTTGCGTATAGTTGACCAATTAAATAGTGGAGATTGATGGGATTCTGTGTGAGGAAAGCTTGGCGAAGGGTGGTAGGAACCATCCAAAAATGTGGTTTTAATCTACTAACCTACAGAAAGTGAGTTATTACAATACATACAACTCAACCTTGGTAATGGATAGTTTAGTACAACTTAATCTGTTGCTATAGATCGCGGTATAGTATCTTAACTAGATATTCTTTAAGCAGGGTGTCTAAGTTTGGCCGTGGTGGTGATGTATGGCATGGATTGTTTGATGGGTCTCTAGTGGGTCAACTACAAGAATTATGACTATGCCAAAATATATTGAACAAGCTGCTTTTAATCTAGAGACATTGTGACATGACTTTAAAAGACCCGTGTTGAATATGAACCAACGGGAATCCATATATATATATATAACACCACTTGTCTTCCAGATGTTATTCTTCGGATCGGGCTTTAAGCTCCTCTTCGGTGGTTTTTTTTCAGCTCCTCTTTGTGACTGACTGGGCAGCAATGGTCCTATGACATCCGTCATGAGTTTTTCCACGGGGATCAAGGGATCTGGGATGATGATCCTGATGTGTTTCGGGGTGGCTTAACCAGGAAGCAGTCAGGCTTTGATTTTTGAAGGTCACAGAAGATGGCCGAAGTCAGACTGCCGCGAATGGTTGGAATGAACTACAGTAACTACAGCAACAGGAATCATTGGGCAATCACTTCAACTGAAGCAATTCAATGCCAGAAACTCCAGAAACAAGACATGTTCGGATAATTTGGGTGATGACATTTGTTTGACCAAACACATCATCGGTTGATGGTCGCATGGATGGTGACTTGTTTTTTTTTCAACGACTATTCCCAGTGACCAATATTTCTTAGATTCAAACCACCAATCCATTGATGGTTCCATGGGTATTTATATTTAGATTTAGATGTTTACATTTATAGTTTTTATTTATATTATATGTCATTATTTTACTTTATATGTATATGTTATACTTATATGTTTTATGTATATGTATATTTATATTATATCATATGTTATTTTAGCTCTATTTATATTTATATGTTATAGTTATATTTATAGTTATGTTTATATGTTATATTATGTTTATATTTTATATGTCTATGTATATGTATATTTATATTTATGTTTATAGTTATATTTTATTTATATTATACTATCCTATGTGTCATTAATTTATGTTTATATTTTATACTTATATTTATAGTTATGTATATATATACATTATTATTATCATTATCATTATTATTATATTTTGTGTTATGTCTATTTATATTATATTATATTATGCTATATTACATTATATTATATTAGATTAGAATATATTACATATTAGAATGTATTAGATATGATATTTACATATAAGATATTGGAAACAATATATATATATACACATAGTCGTTTTTCCTAGTTTAAACGATGGAATGATGTTCCCAAGTAATAAAGATATTCTTGGGATGGCTCGGATCCCATCCAAACGGCAGGCGGATCCCAGCAACACCATGCGACCTGGCAACGACTGGAGATCGATCCTGGCGGTGCAAACTGGATCTTGATGTATTGAATTTATCTGAATTGAACGGACAAGAATGGGTATAGTGTTCAAAACTAAATATACCATTTGATTGATTTACACCCAACATGCATGAATAGATCGGTTGCTCATCATATCATAAAACCTCCCCAGAAGACGTTTCCCCAGAGTCTGGAGTTGACAGAATGACCCCTCACAGCGTTTTGAACCCGTTTGCAGAATCCATTTGCAGATGGATTCAACATGGTATCATTAGGATTGATTCATATGGCTATGCGTCAAAATGCAATGCCCAAAAACAAACCGCCAGATGTTGATTGAGTTTTCTTGTTGTGTTTTGTATTATAACCAATATGATCGAATATTTAGTATGCCAGTTCGATATTGCCCAGTCATTGACAAAAATACCGCCCAAGTATATACATGACCACATGCACCCAATGTTTTTACCAAGGAACCCTGGGGTACGGGCCCCAGATGGGCCGCGGCACTGTAGGGTCCTATCTTTCCCCATGTTGGTGAGGTGTGGCATGATGATCCCCTGCATTATGTTTCAGGGCTGCTTGTATATAGTGAAACCATGTAACATCCAAAAAGGTCGAGCAGTCGAGCAGTATTTTTTTCAGCATTTTAGTATCTAGGATTTTTTGTGTCTATGTGTTTTGGGGTTGCTATAATCAACAGAACATACCGGCTTCGTCCTTCACTTTCACTTGTCATTGGATTCAGGTCGGAGGCACATCGTTCAAGAAGAACTATCTTTAGTGTTCGAGGAGCTTCTGAGCATCCAAAGTTCATTGGGGATTCAACCAATCCAATAAATGGGTTGATGAATGGTGATTTAGCCGACAAAATGGAGGAGATAAAAATAAAACACAATGGGGATGTCGCAGGATATAATGGGAGAACCTTCCCCACAGGTTGGTGACCCCCCAATAATGTTTGGGTTTATAAGCAAAAAATATTGACCAAGAACAACCGTGGTTGAATCTTCATGGAAAACTCTGGATGAGAAGGTGCTTGACATGTTTCAAGTTGTTTCCAACCTGATTGATTCAAGATAATTGTCAGGTGGCGAAGGGTCAAAATGTGTGACAAAGGGTAAATTTCTGTGACAAACTGTTGGTGCTCACGGGATATCAGCGTTTTGATCCTTAGCCAGAAGTCCAGATTGTCTTGCGTGTACAGAAGTGAAAACATAATACTAATATGTATATGAATGTATATGGCATGTGTGTATAAATATATATATATAATATGTTATATTTTGTATGAAAATATTCGTCCGCGACTAGAAAATATAATAATAATAATATAAGATTCCCAATTGTACGATAAATAGAATTAATTAAATTATTATACAAATATTTAAAAATCAATAAAGAATTATTATATATATATATTAATATATTTAAGATTAAATATAAATATATATATAATAAAAATAATATTATTATTGAAAATTAAAATAAAAATTAATATTTTAAAAATACAAATATTTAAAAAATAATTAAAAAAATACTATATTAAATATTAAATATTAAATATATTTGTAATTTTATTATTCTATTTATTTAAATGATTGTATATAATTTTCAAATAAAAATATATAATGTGTAGGGTTTTATGTATTATTTGTGTTGGGTTTTATCTAGGGTTTGATTTAGGGATTCTTTAGGGTTTTATTTAGGGTTTTATGTAAGGTTTTATGAAGGGTTTCTTATTAGGAATTCTTATTAAGATTCTTAATTATTTATGCGGGTTTCTTCAGGGCTTCTTTAATGTTTTATTTGTGGTTTTATTTAGATTTTTTATTTATTTTATTTAGGGTTTTAGTTAAGGTTTTTTTATGGTTTTTTTGGGGTTTTTTAGGGTGTTATTTAGGGTTTTTTTTGTGTTTTATTTATGGTTTTTTTAGTATTGTAGGATTTAAATTTGGGTTTTATTTAAAGGGTTTTAAGCATAATTTTTTAGGGTATTGCTTGGGGTTTCTTTAGGATGCCATTTAGGATTTTATTTAAAATTTGGTTAGGGTTTTATTTATGGTTTCTTTAGATTAATTTATGGTTTATTTAGGGTTTATTTAATATTTTATATAGGGTTTTTTATTATTTTTTTTTGTTTTTTTAAGGGTTTCTTTAGATTTTACCTAGGGTTTTTAAGGTTTTATTTAGGGTTTCTTTAAGATTTATATTTAGGATTTTTTTTGGATTTTAGGGTTTCTTTAGGGTTTTTGTAGGGTTTTATTTAGGATTTGATTTAGGGTTTCTTTAATGTTTTATTTAGGATTTAATTTAGCATCCTATGTAGGATTTTTTATTAGGAATTCTTATTAGGATTTTTAAAGGTTTATGTGTATTTCTTTAGGGTTTCTTTAAGGTTTTATTTAGGGTTTGATTCAGGGTTTCATTTAGGGTCTCTCTAGGGTTTTTATTTAAGGTTTTATTTAGGGTTTTTTAGGGAGGTTTTTTTAGGGTTTATTGAGGGTTTCGTTTATGGGTTTGTTAGGGTTTTAGTTTGGGTTTTATTTAGGTTCTTATTAATTTAGAGTTTTTTAAAGTATTATTTTTGTTTTTTTAGTATGTTATTTACGATTTTATTTAAAATTTTGTTTAGGGTTTTATGTAGGGTTTTTTAGTGTTTTATTTAGGGTTGTGTTTGTTGTTTTTTTTGGGTTTTAGGTTGGGTTCGATTTTGGGTTTTATTTAGAATTTTTTAGAATGTTATTTAGGGTTTTTTTCGGATGCCATTTAGGGTTTTATTGAAAGTTTCGTTAGGGTTTTATTTATGGTTTCTTTAGGTACGGTTAATTTATGTTTTTTTTATGGTTTTATTTAGGATTTGATTTAGGTGGTATTATTTAAGGTTTTATTTAGGGTTTCTTTAAGGTTTTATTTAAGGTTTTTTTAGGATTTTTAGGGTTTTATGTAGGATATAAATAGGAAAAAATAA